AGAAAAAAAAAACCTGACTCCTTGCAAGTTGTCCCCTGATTCACATGTATGTCATGGCTTACAGACACAGACACATACACATAACAAACAAATGAATGAATAAATAAATAAGATAAAAGTAAAAAATTAAAATGGCATAGGAAGAACAGTAAATCTGGAAATGGCATAGTTCTATAATTTAACCATAGAGTCACTGACAATAAAAGGTGTACATATAAATGTATAGAATAGTGAATCCATGTAAATGATGAGTGCTAAATGGCTTTTTCATACAAGCAGAGTGATTCCAGCAGTCCTGCACTGGCCGGAGTCTGAGACTGTGTCAGGGACTGGGAGGCGAGCACCACTGGCCATCCTCATAAGTCCTACAGAAAGACATCATGTGGTCGAAGGGGCATGGCAGAAGGCAGGTCTAGGCTCACTTTGTAACCCACACTAGGTTGATTTCACTCAAGCTAAATAACTGTTCTCATTCATAGTTTCTCTGTCTCACAATTGGAGTAATTGCCTCTGGAGGCCCTCGACAGACAGTGAGGGTTACAGGTGCTCCATGGTGACACCCAGGGAGGAGGACACATTATAATCTCCATCCTATAGCCACAGGTTCTGGCCTTCCAGATATCCATGTGGGGAGATATCAAGGAACATTTTGATGTGACTTACAGGACTAACCAGACATCTTTCTTGGACTGATTATAACCTTTTAAAATGTAGAACTTTAAAGCCCTGATGCAATGGGATATGAGAAAAGTAAGTCTGTTCCTAAAGCAGGGGCCATTAAAGTAGAGGACCGTCGATGGCATGGCTGACTTCAGAGGAACCCCTTGTTGCTTATTCTGGACAAAAAGACAGAAAAGGCAGACCCAGAAAGCATTTGAATGGTAGAATAACCAGCCCATTTACGAGAAGCATATGAGAGTGCATTCTTTGTCAGCAAGGCTTGGCTTTCAGTCCTTCACCGTGATGTCTTGTTTGAGACCTGCTGGCAGGCTTGTTTTATCTATCTGTATCAGAGCTATCAGAAATTCACAGTTCCACTGTTGGTTTAGGCAAAGGCCCCCTGCAGCCTTCTCTACAGTGACCTTTCTTCCCCTGCTCACATAAGTTGGAGTCTCAGCAGCCCTTGACAGACTGTGATGGATTTTCGCGCTTCAGGGCTTATTAGACACACAGCACTGGCCACATTTTTGTTTGTCTTGTTTATGACCAATCTACTCTCTGTGGAAAGCTCGTCACCCTTCATCGTTGGCAGCTGACTTCAGAGTCTCTAGCTGGGACCTCTCTTATACACTACAATCCTCGTTTCTCTCTGCTTGACAACTTCACACAGGTGTCTCTCAGATGCTACAAGCTCCTTAGGGTGCCAGCCTGTCCTCCCCCGCTAAGCCTGTCTTCCTGGCTAGTGGCATTCCTGGTCTCTCAGCTGTTCAGACATAGATGTGTCATCTTGCCTTTTGTGTACCAAATGTAAGGGGTGGGTAGAGATTCTGAATAGCTAATTGATACAAAGTCTTTGGCAGAGCTTCCTTATTCAACTGTGGTGTGTTCTCATAATCACGTGTCCTTCCTTATGACTGGAAGCCAGCCAACTTGTGTGTTCCCATCCCTGCACCGCTCTGGGTGACACGGTGCTTCCTCTTGAATGTGAATGAAGCTTCAGCTGCTCTACCACATCAAGAGTCTGCATCAAAAATTCAACCTCCATCTTGTTCCCTAAGATCCCCACATCACAGACAAATCCTTTGAGACCAACGTTTTGCTGAGCAGTTTTAGACACTGTCAAGAACAAGACACTGACTAACACATTACCAGTTCATCTTTATAACATTTGATGGTATTTATTTTGTCCATCTTTGAAGTAAGGAAGCAATCTTAGAAAATTCAGTTAAATTGCCAAAATATTATGGATGGGAAGAAGCATTGTGGAATTTAAATCTGAACTATTAAAACTAGGGCTTTTACCTTATTTGGTTTTAGATTCATGTTTTCTCTCATGTGAAATCCTACAATATCCATTTCATACAACTTACATATCAAAATCTTATTTATTTGCCAGGACATGTCAAATAGCATTTCTTTCTTGTATATCTCCTGATGTCCTCACTTGGAGATCCTGTGTTCTATCTTTAAGTGGCTACTTTTAGATACACTCCTGGTATTAGTGATTGGCTGAAGGTCTTCAGTCTCACCTTCACTAGGCCATGGGCTTTGTAAGAAAAATGACTGTCTTAGCTATGTCTGTCTCCCTGTGCTTTGCCTGAATCTAGTCTGTCTTATTTTAACTGTTCAACATGCGAGTGAATTGGCCTACAAACACAGACAGAAGATGCAGTGTCGGCACTGATAAAGCATGGCACGAATGCCGTGCATCACGGGCCCTGTGTGTCTCTCGAAACTACAGTGTTCTTTTATAATTCTAAGTGGGTAAAGACGACTCAAATAGAAAGCACTTACTAAGCATTAGGTTTTACTAGTAAATACATTGTGTGGTCTGTTCATCTGAATAACGTGCTTTGTTAGGTTGTGAATGGACAGACATTCACAACCCATTTACTGCCCATCTTGTCCTTATACACTGTTGTGTGATGCTATTCCTGGAGAGACAGTGAACAAGTGCCCACTAACCCCCAACAGAAACAGAAGACCAACGTATAGACTTAGATGTTTTAAAACCTACTTTTAATAAGGGTTCTCAAATGCCTCAACTGCCGCCCCCTTCTGTCCACTGTCCAAACGTAGGGGAGAAAAGATGGTAAATAGGTCAAGGGGATATGGACCTGTTTAGAAGTAGTTCTATGGGAGGCAGTTCCAATATCCATTTGTCAGGAAACCAGCATTCCAGTTTAGTAGTGTCAGGATACCAAACAAGAATCAGCAGCAGTGGCACAAACCACCAGGCCTCTGCCAAATCAACAAGAATCAGCAGGAATGATCAGGACCAGCTGGATGTCAGGAGATGTTCTCTGATACCAGGAGAAGTTATCTCAGAAGAAGTTATCTCAGGAGAAGTTATCTGCTGTGCCTCTCTCAACAAAGAGAAAATCAGCAAAGATGAAGACCCAAGACCAATACGTGTGGCAAAGCTAGCTATGCATGCTTGCCATCACTGTCTGTTGAGACCTATTTATACTCTCTCCAAATATCACATGTCCTATGGGTCTTCCCTTAGCACAAGAACGCGTGCGTCTGCCTCACTACGTGAGTCTGTATCACCTGACATATCCAGAAATGTCCACTTCACAAAAGTATGGGTAATACCAAAGTTCAACTTGGTGAATGAGTAAGTTCACTGGGGTAACTGACAGGAACGTGAGTAAGGAAGGAGTTACTTTCAGAAACAGAAATGATTCAAAGGCGGCAGTAGCAAAAGCTCACTCACTCCAACATGGATGACGGCACATGAAAGTTCAATACCCTGTAGGCAGTTCAGCAGGATGGAAATTGTCCTTCCTAGGTAGCTGGACTGGTCTCTGCCTCTTAGGCAGATTGCCTGGCCTGAGAGTGTCGCTCAGCAACCTTTCTACTTGCATAAGCTTGAAGAAGGAGGACATTATCAGTTTCAGGGACTTCCTGAAGCTGCTGAGTTGTTTACTTCCTGAGATTTAAGGACATTCTCTGCAGGATGCAACAACTTACCTCCCTTTAGAACATCATGAGTCTTAACCAGCTTCCCTCCAAGATGGGAGCCTTTATCTCAGAGGACTGCTACATAACACATACGCTTATCTCCAGGGCAATAGCTCAACTGTGCTGGGCAAATGAATTATGTGGTTAGTGTTGGCAACAAAACAGGCTTTTGATCTGAGTCCATGGAAGAATGATAACCAAGTAATTATGAAGTCTGGAGCCATCCTTGTCCAATGTTAATAACCCAGCCAAATGACATGACCCAGCACTTCTTCCCCATGTGAAAAAACAGACCAATGCAAAAGCTTACCCGGTAATATACATAAATTCCAAAAACTGAAATATCACAAATGTCCACTAACTGACAATAGATAAATAGAAGTGATATAACCATGTGATAGGGTACTATTTAGCAATAAAAAGGACTAAAGTATTGCTATGTGCTACAACATGGATCAACTGTGAAAACATTTGGCAGAGTGAAAGCCAGACAAAATGGCCACATCTTGTGTAACTACTTACAGAAATGGCCAGAATAGGCAAAGCTATAGCTACAGAAAGTAGGGCAGCAGTTGTCTAGGACTTGAGAGGAGGGCTATGGGTGAAAATAGAGAGCAACTGCTAATGGGTATGGGGTTTCCTTCTGGGGTAATAAACATTCTAATACAGACAGGGATGACACATGCGCAGTTTAGTGAATGAGCCGCCCGAGTACGGAGCGCTAACCAGCTCCATGGCCAGCGAACATCCTGGAGTCCACTGAATTGTGTGCTGTAAAAGGAGCAAATTATGTGGGATGTGAAATACACCTCCAGGAAGCTGTTACTTGTTAAGCTGCCAAAGCAGCAGAGCAGAGTATTATGGAATAGGGACACGCCCTAGCCAGTGGTCACAGAGGATGCTAAACCCTGAAGCCAGTGCTCACAGAGGATGCTAAACCCTGAAGCCAGTGCTCACAGAGGATGCTAAACCCTGAAGCCAGTGCTCACAGAGGATGCTAACCCTGAAGCCGAAGTTCCCTATTTGGACGCCAGACTTCTGCAGTCTTACTATGGGTCACAAGGAAGCAGAACAGATGACTAGGAAGAGGGCCTCCCTTCTTCTCTCTGTCCCCACAAGCTTGCTTCTATCAAAGATTAAACATTGGTTGATTTTAGATCAACCAGGAAATGCTTTCTTCCAAAATATGTCTTTACTCTTCTGTATCTTGAAAAGACAAAAATGGTCACCTCGGAAGCAGCGGTATTAGAGGTTGCGGGCGCAGGGTGCTGGTAGTCGTCGCTCTGGGCCTTCGCTGCCGCTTCTGCACCGTGAATTAGGATATCTCGGCAGCCAGACCTCACTCCTGTTACAGCAGCTCTCGTCTAGTCGCAACTCCGCCACCATGTTTGAGGCACGTCTGATCCAGGGGCTCCATCCTGAAGAAGGTGCTGGAGGCTCTCAAAGACCTCATCAATGAGGCCTGCTGGGACATCAGCTAGGGCAGCATGAACCTACAGAGCATGGACTCGTCTCATGTCCGTCTGGTGCAGCTTACTCTGCGCTCCGAAGGCTTCGACACATACCGCTGCGATAGCAACCTGGCCATGGGCGTGAACCTCACCAGCATGTCCAAAATTCTAAAATGTGCTGGTAATGAAGACATCATTGCATTAAGGTCTGGAGATAATGCTGACACCTTAGTGCTAGTATCTGAAGCACCACATCAAGAGAAAGTTTCAAACTATGAAATGAAGTTAATTGACTTAGATGTCGAGCAACTTGGAATCCCAGAACAGGAGTACAGCTGTGTAGTAAAGATGCCATCTGGTGAATTTGCCCGTATATGCCGAGACCTTAGCCATATTGGAGATGCTGTTGTGATATCCTGCGCAAAGGATGGGGTGAAGTTTTCTGCCAGTGGAGAGCTTGGCAATGGAAACATTAAGTCGTCACAAACAAGTAATGTTGATAAAGAAGAGGAAGTGGTAGCCATAGAGATGAATGAACCAGTTCAGCTAACTTCTGCTCTGAGGTACCTGAACTTTTTCACAAAAGCCACTCCACTGTCTCCTACAGGAACACGCAGTATGTCTGCAGATGTACCTCTTGTTGTAGAGTATAAAATTGCTGACATGGGACACTTGAAGTATTTATTTGACTCCTAAGATTGAAGATGAAGAAGGATCTTAGGCATTGTTATAAACTGAGAAAATTAAACCTTTGAAGATTGCTTCTGAGATGCCAGCGTGTTCTGAAGTTTTTTCTGTCACCAAGTTTGTATGCCTGAGTGTTAAATATAAAAGTAAAATATGTAGATATCTTCTGAAAAAAAAGACAAAAATGAATATTTTATCATTCGTCTAATAGGGGCCTTTCATATTTTTATATTAATTTTGAAAGACTTTTAACACAAGTGCACCCTCTCACCTTCTCTCTACACATATACGTTTGGATGCAAACACTTTTAAACTCATCTCAGGGCTGACCCAGACCATAGAGTGAAAGCTGTAAAAAGCAGCTCTGGTGTTAACGGCTGCTACATGCTACAAGCCAGCTGGGGCCTGACAGAGTACTGGGCCGCAGAGACGCTGTAAATGAATAGCAGAGAATAGTCTATAAATAGGAAGACCAGAGATTATCAGCCAAAACACACAGACACCGGAGAGGCCACACAGAAAGGCATACGGGCACCGTCAGGGTACGGTTAGTGCAAAATGACCCCTGCAGGTAAAGATGGCAATACAAATACTACCTTCTCCTGAGCTGACACAGGGATTAGTCTGAACCTCCTTTCTCCCTCTCTGGTTTTCATCCAGTCTTCCAGAGAGAAAAGCTGGTCCTGGAAAGATGAAGGAATGCTAGCTCTTATCTGGGCTCCCCACTTGTCCTTAGAAAGCCAACACACAGGAATGGGGTGGCTGGTTCTGGTTTGTAGGGAGCATCCCTTTCCTTCAAAGGTGCTCAGAAACTCAAAACCCACAACCCCTGGGCCATGTGTGTGTGTGTGTGTGTGTGTGTGTGTGTGTGTGTGTCCAGCAGAGGAATTTGCTCTGCCTTGCCATGATTTACAGGAGGCTGGCTGAGTTTCTTCTTTTTCACCAGAGTCTTCATACTTTCAAGCCTCTGTTGTCACTCCTGCATTTTGGAGTGAATAATTTCTTGTGGCAGAATTTCCCTCCTCTTTGTCTGTAACCTCCCACTCAATTCCTCAAGCTCACCTTGTCTCTGAGGTCTCCCCAGCTCCCTCAGGCAAAATTACTGGCTTCCCACCTCCGCACCCCTAAGGTTACCTCTAGCACAGCCCTTAAAACTGCTCGATTCTTTTTCCCCAGAGACTGAGGGCTTCAAAACTGAGGATTATAGCGACCATTTTAAAATCTCTGTCACTTAGCATGTCTGGTATATAGTTAAGTACTTAATGGATGTTTTTCAAATTCCACAAGTAAAAGATCCTAATACGTGCCCTGAGAATGTAAAGTTAAGTCTTGGCCCAGAAGGGGCAGGAAAAATATATGGTTGGCGTGTGTGTGTGTGTGTGTGTGTGTGTGTGTGTGTGTCTGTGTGTGTGTGTGTCTGTGTGTGTGTGTGTATTACTTAGGAAATGACATTGAAGTGAATAGCCAAATCCAAAAATCTACTAGTCTATTGGTAACGTCCCTGGCCCAGCGATGGACGGGAGAGATGAGGTGGGTAGATGGGTGTGTGCTGGGACTGATCTTCAAATCACGTGATCATGGTTGCATTTACTTATTAGGGCTGGATAACAGAGCAGCACAGACTGGATGACTTAACCGACAGAAATTCACTGAACTTGATCTTTAGATCTAAGCAGTGTTGACAGGGCCTCTTTAAACACACAGTTAGATGGTAATCGGAATGGGCAAATGCAGAGCCTGGATGCTCACACAGACTCTAGCTAACACGGCAGGCCTCTCCAGGATGTCAAAGGATTCATGCTGCCTGAGTTTGCCCACTGCACTCTGTATTCCTTAGGTTAATTTTGTACCACACATAAGAACCACCAGTCATGTTATGGTTGGCACTGCTCTGAGCAACCCAGGATGAGTCTGGAAAGGGGAAGATGGCTAGCTCAAGGCTTGGTCCTTGTTTGCAGATGGAGACAGTGTCCGGCTGAAGGCAGGGGTCCCTGTACTGAGCTGGCAGTGAAGGTGGCTGCAGCAGTACATCATATGGGGAGTCCCACTGCAGAGAACAGCCCCAGCCGTCATGGCTACTCACGGAAAGAGTAAGATTAGAGTCACTTCCAGGGATGAAATAAGTCCAGTTAAGGTTGTCCCTCCAGAGGTGCACCTCTGTGCTTTGGGTTATTTCTCCGTGTGAGGTCTCCTAGGAAGTAGTCACTTGGGATTCTTAATCAGCGTGTACACTGTATGCCCAGTCTTGTGCCAACTGACTCAAAATTTCTGGGTCAACCTAGGCATTCTTACGTCAAGCGCTAGAGTATGAGCCACTGATGTAACCGGCTGGAATGAGGAAGCGTCCCCTGGAGTCCTGCTGGTCTGGAGCCTCAAGAGAAGCTCAGCTTTTGCGTGTGTGTGTGTGTGTGTGTGTGTGTGTGTGTGTGCATGCGTGCATATCTGTAGATAACAGAGACATGCAAGCTTAGGTCTTTCCACCGAATACAGAGCTGAGACTAGCTGAAGTCTGAATGCAGAGCAGGCCAGTAGCACTCACCTCCATTCCCCTCTGAGCACCTTGACACAGACTCTTTTTTTACTCATCCTTATTTTATTTTGCTCCTTGAGGTTACAGCATGAATCGTTCCTCTTTTGTTTGTTTTTGTTTTCATTTTTTTAAGTGCCTAAAGTTTTTTATCCTGATGTTGCTCAATGCTGGTGATCAAGTGGTTAGAAGGGAGCTCTTGAAGTCAGCTGCTGGGGATGAGATGCTAAGATGTTTTCCAGAAGGTTCTTCTTGACAGTCTATAATGAGAAAGCTATGAATTCTATTTCTAAAAATGAACCCCAAGAGAAAAATGAGAAATTCTTTCAAAGGCTCATATTAAAGAATATTCACCCGAAGCTGAGCGTGGTGATGTTCTTTAAATCCAAGTACTTGGGGTGGGGGATAATCGGGAGGTTAAGGTTATTCTTAGATATGCAGTGAACAAGGATATACCCTAGACTGCACGACACCCAGAAAACACACATGTATAAGAAACCATAAAATTTAAATATTAGTTATTTAAAATTCTGTTGTCACACAAAATATCCCCCATAAGTTATAACATACAGTTTCTTAAGCTGAAAAAGTAGAGGTGACTCAGTGGTTAGGAACCTTGGCTGCTCTCCCACAAGGCCGAGATTCCAGTCCTAGCACCCATATCATGATCCACAACCACCTGTAACTTCAGCTCCAGGGGATGTGATGCCCTTGTCTGGCCTCTGAAGGCATTTCACTGTCACACACAAATCCACACAGAAACACATACACATAATAAAAAAATCATAAAGAAAAACAAAAATCGTTAAACACAATAATGTTAATTTAAAGAAAAAAAACCCAATTCTCTATCTGAAAAGAAATATCCTGTATTGTTAAAAAAAAAATGATTATTTTTAGATCAGGAGTTCACTCGGGACTGAGAAGTCAGAAGATAAGAACTCTTGAGATGCTGTCACCCAAATCTTCAAAACAACAACAACAACAACCAACCAAACAAACAAAAAATGTGTTCATGTTTTTTATCTTCTCCAGAACTGGGCTCAGCCCATTGTGGGGTTGAAAACCTGGGTCTGGGGTGGAGACCGGAGGTAGGAGCCATACAAGTATTCTGATGAACTGTTGGGAAGGTGCTTAGAACAGTCACCGGGCTTCTAGAAGTGTCTATTTCAGAGCTAAGGCTGCCTGTACCTGCTAATGTGGGCCAGTAATTCTAGCTATTGAGGTCAGGTAGGGGAACTTCGAATTCAAGGCCAGCATGAGTAACTCAAAAAAAGAAATAAAAGGGAAAGGGGGGGTGGAAAAAGAAGCCAGTGACAGAAGGCTTGCCCAGCATGTGGGAGGTCCTGAGTACAATGCCCAGCACTAGGAGGAGGGAATTTTCTTTTAATAAGCCCCACCCCCATCCCTCCCCAACCCCATCCCCACCCCATGATAATTGCACTACAAATTACCTGAGGGCTGTGCAGTACCTGGGACAAGCCTGAAAGAGGTCTCCAGAGAGATATAGGGGAACAAGGAGGCTCTCTGAAGCTCCTGTGAGTTTAAACATCCCTCTATGCTTTTCCAAACACACCTTTACTAGAACTGGGTGAACAGTTTTGTAGACAAAATCTGAAGACAAGGCTGGAATCCGAAGGTGATTTCCCATGGAAATTCCAGGTTTTATATAATAATAATATTCCAGGTTTTAAATAATGAATTCCAATCTACACTTCCAGAGTCCAGGCAATTCTATCTGAATGGTCACCACATTCTCAGACTCTCAATTGGGATTTGGGACTTCCCCATCGCTATCCTCATGTAACTGATAATCCAGAAAACCTTCATTTTTCACATTAACTATGAGAAGGCAGGGTGTCTTCACCTGAGTCCGAAGCTAAATTTTTACACATCGGACCAGGGTCTCTACTTCATAATGAGGTCTCAGTCCGCTGCCTTTATATGGAGTGGCGGCAGCGGTGTAAAGAAAAAGGGTCTCTCTCTCTCTCTCTCTCTCTCTCTCTCTCTCTCTCTCTCTCTCGCTCTCGCTCTCGCTCTCTCTCGCTCTCTCTCGCTCTCTCTCGCTCTCTCGCTCTCTCGCTCTCTCTCGCTCTCTCGCTCTCTCTCGCTCTCTCGCTCTCTCGCTCTTGCTCTCTCGCTCTCATTCTTGCTCTCTCCCTCTCTCCCTTCTTTCCTCTTTGGAGATACTAAGGGTTGAACATAAGGCTTTTTACATGCCAACTAAGCATTCTACCATTGAGTTACATCCTCAGCTAGATTTAGTTTGAGTTTTGGAATAATCTCTTAAAATGTTACGAACTCATATTGAGTAAACCTTTTATTGATAGACATTGATAACACTGAGTATGTATACAGGGAAATAGGTGGGCCATCCACTGTTCATTTAACTTATTAATGCTAACATACATTAAGGAGAGTTCAGATGTGATTTGGAACCAGGTTTGAAACAATAATGTCAATGGGAGGTGACTTGAGTTGGCAATGACTTCTACAACTTTCTCTTGATTGAGTACAAATTGTCACACAATGAAAGGGACTTCTTAGGTGTCACTTTCTCCTTTGCAAAGCAAAGAAGACAAGAATTATAAGCTGTAAGA